GCCGTGTCCCGCCGCGGCGACGGAGCGACCTCGAGGCACGACCGGGGGAGATCTGCCAACCACCCGCCACAATGAGAGGAACAAAGAACGGTGTAAGCATTGGCTTTCATCGCTCCACGCGGATTTCTTGGATATGCGCTGGACCCCCGTCCCTGTCGCGCGGAGCGCGCCAGAGGCGGTGCGGAGGCGCCGCCAGGGGGTCCCAGCGCAGATCCGCGAAATCCGAGCGGACCGGCAAACCGCCAAAAGTTTGCGTTTTGTGTTCTTCGAACCAGTGTCCCCAGGCATGAGACCGATTCTGGAAATCCTGCATCAAAATTTTGATGGCGTCTCAATTTCACTTCCGTCGCCTTCCGCCAATGTTCTGCGGGCCTTCCGCCGGGAGCGATGCGCGCCGTGGGCGAGCAATGCCAGCAGGCATGAAACCGATTCTGGAGATCCTGTACCACAACTCTTTGGGCGTCTCGCTCTCACTCCCGTCGCCTTCCGCTGACTTGTCCGCGGGTTTCCTTTTTCATAGAAAAGAGAAAGCAACACAAACATAAACTGTTGGCGATCCGCGCGGATCTCTTGGATCTGCGATGGGCCCCCCTCCCTGTCGCGCGGAGCGCGCCAGGGGCGGCGCCGGAGGCGCCGCCAGGGGGGGGCCCAGCGCGGATCCAAGAGATCCGCGCGGAGGGCCGAAAGCGCATGTTTACCCCGTTCTCTCTCCTGCGACCGTGGGCGTCTCGCCCTCACCTCCGTCGCCCTCCGCCGACCTATCCGTCGCCCTCGCCCTTTTGCGAACCGCCTCTGCACCCCTGGGGGGTGCTCGAAGGCAAGGAAAGAGCCCCGAAAGCCTCCGCCGAGGGCGGGGTGCTCCTGCCGAGGGCCGTGGCCCCTCCTCTGCTGGAGCGCCTCGTGCCTACAGGGGCCGAGGGACACACAAACAAGTAGACACAGACCCCAGGATTCCGCAACTTTTCAAATATTTTCTGGGTTCTCGTCTTCCCCCCATATTTTCCCATATTTCCCCTGCAGTCGACGATACTTGTGTTTTTTTCCCTCCTGACTCGTGTCGTCCGTGCAGCACAGCGCTGTCGTGGCAGCGATCTTGTGGCCGGGTTGCTGCGGTTTTCTGTGCCCTCCCCGTGCAAGACCGCACCCACGCGCGTGCATCCCTAAGACGAAGCCAGGACGAGGACAACAGCGGGCGAAGATCAATCGAGAATCTCTGAGACGTGGCGGCTCTGGAAGATGTATCGGGCGCCGCGGCCTCCTCAGAGCGTTCTGGAACGCTCTGAGAGAATTCCGGAACGCTCTGGAACGGGTTTATCCTCGTCCTGTCCCCGTCCGAATCCCACTCCCCCTTCGAGGCTCTCTGGGCATTACGGCAAGTGCCGGGCGGTCTCCAGCATCTAGATGCCCAAGGTGGCTTCCAATACGCTCAAAAAGACGTCCACCAAGGTGAACCGTGCTGTCTTCAAGTGGTCACAACAGCCCCAAGATAATAACCCCAAGAGACGCCCACGGGGCACGGATTGGAATATGCGGATACGAAATTCCCTGGCAATTCAGTGGTCTCCTGGATGGTCTCCTAACATTTTATGAAAAGGGCTTTCTTGATAACACTGCGTATTTAAAATGCACTATGCACGTGTATATATATATATATATATACTTAGCGTTTGCTTTATATGTTGTGCACGTGCCATCTGTATACAATACGCTATGAATTATGCTGATTTTGTTCGTATGAATATGTAGTTGTATATTTCTATAACCTTATATTATATATACGCATGCGAATTCACCCTGCGATCATGAAACCGGTCAGCTCTTTCTACCCTCGTCTCCCTGAGCAGTCCTCTGTTCCGAGGTTGCTCGCGGCCCCGATATCGTACTCTTCAATTTTGCTTGGGTGCCCTCGGGGTCGGCCAAGCGGGGGGCGTCCAAGAGAGGGGGGTCCAAATCATGGCCAGCGGCATGTGCGTGGCCCAGGGAAGTGCTGGGGACGCATCGAAATAAAAAGAGGCGCCATGAAACCTGGGGAGATATCGTGGCCCCCGCCATGACATCCATCCACCCTAGTCCCCCCCCTCTTTGCTAGTCCCGAACCCCAGGCCTCGTCTCCTCGGAGTCCGACCGGATGATCCTGCCAGTGCCGTGCTCCCCCCAATTCAGCCCCCAGGAGTTCTTGATCTGCCAATACTTCACCGGCCCGCGGACGGTCTTCTCCTTGACGCCCCACGCGAATAGCACAATGGCGTGGTTGACGATCTGGTCCCTGTCCGAAGGGCACTGGGCAGACACACCCTGAGAAGAGCAAGAGTATAGCTGAATCAGGCTGGAACCAAGCACCAAATCGGGGGCGGCCAAGAGGGGAGCGTCCAGGGGGGGGGCAAATCATGGCGGCATGTGCGCGGCCCAAAGGGGGGGCCAGGGACGCAATGAAATAAGAAGAGGCGCCATGAAATCTGGGGAACTATCATGGCCCACCCCATGATATCCCCCCCTAGTCATCACCCCCCTCTTTGCCGCCCCAGACTAAACACCCTCGTGAAACATTATCCGTCAGACACTTCTGCAAGCAGCCAGGTCCGGTCAACAAACAGCACTAGCAATTCGAAAGGACCCCCGACCCCTCCCAGCATCTGCCTCGCCCCCTCCATACACTCTTATCTGTCTTGGTGAGGGCTAGGGCGACTGAGGCTGGGGGCTAGAGCGAGGGTCGGAGCGCCCAAATCCATTAGGCTCTCTGGCCATTGTGAATTGACCCTTGACTCTCGGTCAATCGCTTGCGCAAGCTGTGCGAAGGGACGCGATGGCTGATACATCTCGTCCCAGTGCGGACGGCCTGGGCCATGACAAGCAGAGCTAGAGGCGCAGGACCAAATATGTCTTGCAGGCTTCTCACGCTTCGACGCGAGTTTATGAGCCCGTAGCACGCTCCAGCACGCTGTGCTGTCGTCCAGATTCTGCGCAGCAGTTCGTATGGATTGGGAGCACGAGCAGCTCGTGCTTGCGGGCGTCTGAGGGTATCGCTTTTTCAATATATGCGTGTTTGCACGCCCGCGACATTGCAGCCAAATCTGATACACGCTGGGCAATTTGCGCCTGCACCACACTGGGACACGTCTGATTGGAATCGTATTTAATGTGTGTGTGTGTGTGTGAATGTGTGTGTGTGTGGGTGCCCCTCCAAATCGGGACACTTGCAGAACCCTCCCTGTGCTCCTCCATACTCAATGCCCAGGCCAACCCCCCACCGGATCGGAAACGCGAAATCGGATCGGCGACATACAAGATCGGGAACCACGGGAAAATTGCGCATCGGATCAGAATGGGATCAGAAACCCAGCAGCCCTCTGGACCGGAACCGGAATCGGCTCTGCCGCGCTGGAATCGAAGTCGGAATCGAAATCTCGCACGACGGCGACGACTGGCCACGAAACCATGATGGCCGCGAACCAGACCGAGGACCGAGAACCAATCCTCGAACCGAACTGGCCGAACTAAACCAGGATGGAAAGCAAAATCGGAATCGACCCCCCGCTCTTCCCAGACCTCCAGGGGGGCGGGTGTTCGAACCGAAAGCGACCTTGTGTCCTCCTCCTCCCCCTCCTCCTCCTCCTCCTCCGCCTCCCGTCCCCTCCTCGGCCCCAGACCCCCAGGGGTCGGGGGCTCGGGGCCCCCTCGGCTTGGCTGGCCATAGCAGGGGGGGCGTGTCTCCCGACACTTGGCGGCGGTCGCCACCATCAGCCGCGCACACACGCGCGACATCATCATCATCATCATCATCATCATCATCATCATCATCATCATCATCATCATCATCATCATCATCATCATCATCATCATCATCATCATCATCATCATCATCATCATCATCATCATCATCATAATCATCATCAGCATCATCATCATCATAATCATCATCACCATCATCATCATCATCATCATTCAGCAGCAGCAGCATCAGCATCATCAGCATCATCACCATCACGATCACCATCACCATCATCATCATCAGCATCATCATCATCATCACCATCAGCATCATCAGCAGCATCATCATCATCAGCATCATCATCAGCGTCATCAGCATCAGTAACATCATCTTGGTCGTCGTCATCACCATCATCATCATCGTCATCACCATCATCGTCACCGTCATCATCGTCACCGTCATCGTCGTCATCATCTGCATCATCAGATCCACCATCATCAGCATTGCAGCATCACCACCTTCATCCTGATCATCACCACCATCATCATAATCGTAATCGTACTGTCACCATCACCACCACCATTACCACCATATCATCGTCATCACCATCGTCTCCATCATCGCCATCATCACCATCCATGATCATCCGAACCATCGTCGTTATCATTGCTATAAATATATATACACATATAAACGAAAACAATCCCCATCGGTGTCGTCTGCATCACCCCAATCATCGTCTACATCATCATCGTCGGCAGTCGCGTCGTACTGTTGGTCCCCAGGCTACAGTAACAACGTCTCCCGCCCGACACGTCCTCACATCCCACCAGCCCTCTGGGCCAACGTAGGTGGCTTAGGGAGTTTCCTCTTCCGCCCCCCTTCTTCCCCTTCGGGGATGGGTTTACCCCTCCCCCCCGACCCCCACCCCTGGACCTGGACGGGCGGTGCCGCGAGCGTCCAAAGCGGCCTCGGCGAGAAAGCCAACATCATTGGTTGGTTTTAACTCTGGTTTGGACCCCATGTTGGCCTATTGGGGGGGGGGCTCCCCTCTCGTTTGATGGATGGCCTCCGAATGGCCTGAAGAACGCCCCATAAAATTTCCAAGAACGCCTCAAGAGGGCCCCGAGAGGCGCCCAGACGGCCCCAAGAGGCCTCCAAGAGGCTCCCGGGAAACCCCCAAGAGGCCCCCGAAAGGCCCCGAGATGATCCCCGAGGCACCCAAGATGCCCCCCAGACGCTCCAAGAGGCCTCCCCGAGGCGCCCAAGACGCCCAAGAGCCCCCCAGGACCGCCAAGAAACCCCCAAGGCGCCCCAAAAGGCTACCAAGAAGCGACCAAACCATACCCCAAGAGGCTCCGGGAGGCATCCAAAAAACGTCTGGCCCTTTTTGCTCGCCCTCCGCCTCCTGCTCCTCCTTCCTTCTACTCACTCCTTCTCGTCCTCCTTTTCCTCCTTCCCCTCGTCATCATATTCATTTTCCCCCACTCCCTCATCCATCCATCCAGCCTCCTTCTTCTCCTCTTCCCTCCTTCGCACGGTTCGGCCGCCCACCCCTTTGCCCCCGCATAGACGCCTCAACTCGCCTGGACACTGGTTCTGGATGGGCTGGTGGGGATACGTGAAGCGTCTAGAGCTTATTCCTGACATCCGCGAATGCTTGAGACTTCTGCGCAAGTTACGTAAGAATCGTGTTCTTCGTTCGGACCAACTTCATCGCAACGTCTTGACACCCCGCACTCTCGACGCTGAAGGCTCGCGTTTTTGCCGGAGACTTCCTTGCATTTTACTGAGAAATCGCCGTCTCGCCAGAGATTTCCCGCGCCCGAAGGATCCAGCGCGCGCGCGCACATACGCACAAACAAAAACATGGCAACTAACACAACGCATAACCTACAAGCATGCAAAACAAAAAAAAAACATCAGCACCCGCGCACTGCTGCAGGATTGTTGGTAATCGTCGTGGTGATTGTTCCTCTTGTGCGGGTTGCTTGGCTTGCTCTTGCGTTGTTGGTTTGGACGCCGCTTGGTCGTTTAGTGTCGTTGATGTTTTGTTGATTTGGTGTGTGTGGTGCGCACTGTGTGATTCGTTGTTGATGTTTTTTGTTGTCGTTGAACCTTAAGTACTAAACAATTATTATTGTTGGACCCCCTATATTCGCCCTGGCGCTCTCGCCGAGGCGCCGGCCGCATTTCCTCTGAAATTGAGGCTCACGCTCAGGCGTTTTGGGGTTCCGCCAAAACCGGCCCCCCAACAACAACAACGCTCCGGCTCGAGACTTCCTCCTTTTTTACTCGGGCTCGGTGCTCTTGCTCGCCGCCGAGAGCGGCTCCCGGGCCGGACGCCCGGGTCGGCGCCCGAGCCGGCGCCCGGGCGCCGGAAAATCGAGTTCCGAGGCGGCGCCGAAAAAAGGCCATTCCAATACACATTTTTCTTTCGAAAATGCTGAATTTCTGCTTCCGGCGCCCGGGAGGGAGGCCGTCCGGGCCGATTCCGGAGCTCGGGCCGGCACCCGGCCCGGCTCCTGGCCGGACGCCCGGGTCGGCGCCCGAGCCGGCGCCCGGGCGCCAGAAAATCGAGTTTCGAGGCGGCGCCGAAAAAAGGCCATTTCAATACACATTTTTCTTTCGAAAATGCTGAATTTCTGCTTCCGGCGCCCGGGAGGCCGTCCGGGCCGATTCCGGAGCCTGGGCCGGCACCCGGCCCGGCTCCCGGGCCGGACGCCCGGGTCGGCGCCCGAGCCGGCGCCCGGGCGCCGGAAAATCGAGTTCCGAGGCGGCGCCGAAAAAAGCCATTCCAATACACATTTTTCTTTCGAAAATGCTGAATTTCTGCTTCCGGCGCCCGGGAAGCCGTCCGGGCCGATTCCGGAGCTCGGGCCGGCACCCGGCCCGGCTCCCGGGCCGGACGCCTGGGTCGGCGCCCGAGCCGGCGCCCGGGCGCTGGAAAATCGAGTTCCGAGGCGGCGCCGAAAAAACGGCATTCCAATACACATTTTTCTTTCGAAAATGCTGAATTTCTGCTTCCGGCGCCCGGGAAGCCGTCCGGGCCGATTCCGGAGCTCGGGCCGGCACCCGGCCCGGCCGGCACCCGGCCCGGCTCCCGGGCCGGACGCCCGGGCAGTTCCGATCGCGCCGAAAAGAGGCCATTCCAATACACATTTTTCTTTCGAAAATGCTGAATTTGTGCTTGCGGCGCCCGGGAAGCCGTCCTGGGCCGATTCTGGAGCGGCTTTGGGCCGGACGCCCGAGCCGGCGCCCGTACGTGGTGCTTCTCTGCTTCTGGCGCCTGCGCAGCTTCCCGAGCCGCTTCTGGAACCATATCTGGCCGGTCCAGCGATAGGTTTCCTGGATGTGCTGAGCCATCCAACTTTTTGGGAGTTCTGCGTCTCAAGGATAGGGAGAGAAGACATTAAAGGAGGATCAAAAAGCAACGTCGCTATGAACGCTTGGCTGCCACAAGCCAGTTCTACTTACTTGGACTACTACTACCGTTACCACTACTACTAGTGCTACAGCCGCAACAACAATATCATCAACTGCTGCTACTACAACTA